TTCCTGAAATGCTGTGCTTATCATTCACTACTCACAGTTGTTTATGGGTTCTTCAAATGATGTAATGACCTTCCGATTTCACTTTTGATTGTCTTCTTAGAGCAAGGAAATAGTCTTACCATTGCTAAAGGGGAAAGAATGCCCTCTCTCACTTGTGTATTTGCAGTATTCTGCTAAACTCCAGTGCCACCTAGAGGTTATGTTGTAGAAAAGCAGGAAAGGAAACACTCATTGTATACTGCTCAGAACTCAATTCTGTGACCAAACCAAAAGTAGTTGCAACACAAACCTTTGTGTAGAAAAGTCCTGGGAACAAGGTGTGGGGAAGGTTGACACAGTATTTCACAGGTGCACTGAAACAGCTGCACATGGTGCTTTGGTTGACTTAGCTCTACAAAATACTTCCTATGGATTAGTGTAGTTCTACTACTGACTATGTATGAAGCAAATTCAAAACAAGGGCAGTGCTCAAAATATAAGGGGCCAGAAAGGTTTCTAGAAAAGTACTTAGGAAGGCCTTGTTCCATACATTCAGTTTATCAGTAGTCAAAAAACAAAATTTGAGTTTCATACTCAATTTTATTTGCCTAAAAATGGAGTTGGAGTAGTCTGGGGGGGCACTTCTGAATTCCAATAATGGCCCTCCCACCTTTCCCCTCATAATCTGAGCTCTGAATTAAAGCATTCCCATAAAATAGAATTACACACACACACACACACGCAGGCACACGCAGGCACAGACACTCACAAAACCATCCCAAGTTAGCACTATAACATGTCTATTTTTAAATGTAACAAATTCATTCCAAAATACAGTATACATCTGGAAAAATTCTTCCTATTTACATTTTACTACAACATGACTTTTACCTTCTAATTTAATGCATGGTTTTAATTAAGCTTGTCTGGCACACTACCGTCTAATCTTCACAGTTATCCCATATAGCAATTAATTCAGGCAGGAGCAGACTTGATGCTACAGTTCTTCAGCAGCTCTAGGCTAATTGCTGGCAGATCCTGCTGATTATTGTCGTTGTTATTATTATTTGAAACATATTTTGCTGTACTCTACCTTTTTTTGTTTAGCATGCCTTCCAGCCTTTCTGCAACTCTGCCACTCTAAAAACACCCACTGAGAACGAGGCGGTTCATAATCTCCCACAGTACAATATTGTATGTAAACATGCAAACATGAAAAATTTCTGGGTCATGTAACAATACAGTAGCTGAAGAACTTCTCACATTTGCCCATTCATTAAAATTAAATGTGTCAGCACCTGCCAGCAGCAAAATTAAAGTACGTCTGGTGGGAACTATCCCATCAGGCTCTTTTGGTCCAGGTGCTGAGACTATTTTTATTTATTTATTTATTTATTTAGGAGACTTCTATGCCGCCCCATTCGCCGAAGCCTCGGGGCGGTTCACATCCATAAATAAACTTTCATAATATAAATTAACAGTATAAATTAAGTATAAATTTTCACACCATAAAAAAGGATCTCTGTTGTTTGACAGAATCCAGGCTAAATCAAAATGACTACTCATATTTATATGCATAAAAGAGTCTGAGAAACTATATTCAAGCACAATAATCATCCTTCCTGGGGAAAAAGTTTTAAAAGCTGTGGTATTTGTGCGATAAATTTGTAAATTTATTAGTTTCGGTGGGCGTCACTGCTGGAAGTGTAATTTTGAAAATGCATTTTTGTGGTTTGTAAGTTCCCCTATAGTTAGCTGGGGTAGGAACAGTTTCAGGAGCAGGGCCTGAGAGATGCATATTTTCTTTATCATATATATGCAACATGGTCATAATACTAGTGACCAGGGTCAGAGAATTAATCCAGCAAAGCCACGTCTTAAGAGCATCCGAAGGACCCTGCCAGAGGGTCATCAAACAGTTTTCTTAGCATCCTGTTTCCCACAGTGACCAATCTGATGCCTGGGAGGAGCCCCAGTGCAGGATATGAGGGTAACCAACATCCCACTCTTGCTTCCTAGCAACTCGTGTACATAAACCTCTGATCCAGGAGATGGTATATAACAACCATTGAGAGCCTTAGCATTAGGAGTGTGCCTAATCCCCTTTTAAAACAGCTTAAGGGCACAATCCTATGTCAGCCTAAATAGAAAAATTCCTAGTTTTCAGCATTCCCCATCCAGCATGGATGGCTGGGAAGTACTGAGTATTGTTTCCCTCTAAACATGCATAGGATTGTTAGCTAAATTGGGGACCATCACCACATTCTATGGAGGTGAATTCCATAGTGCATGTACCATGTGAAATTATTGCATTGCTATACCACTTAATGGCCAAAGCTTTCTTATTGTCGGTCCACAATCTCTCACCATTTGGCTTCCTTGCATGACCCCATGGGTACAGCTGCACACAAAGGGGTGTGCCTTCCATCAGGGTCACCATTCCTAAAGCACAGTCTTGCTTCCATTTTGAATACCTGGAAATGGTGTATGTCTGTATTCAGGTATGTCTTCATTTCCTTCAACCATGCTCTTCTCTCAGCATTACGTGTACACCTGCAGAATGATTCAAATCAGAAAGGAAACAAGGGAACAGAAGGAAAAAAGAAAGAAGTGTATTGGATTTAATGGCTGATTTAATTGGAAACATTGGAAAGCTAATATAAATATTTGGCAAGTTAGTTGGCTCCATAGCCAAGCAAGAACTAGAATTCAGATCACCAGAGTCCTAGTTCTGCTTTCTTAATCACTACACACAATGGATGGTGTGATCATGCTCGAGCAGACAAGAAATAATTTCTCAATACCCAGTGTGAACAGGTAGAAGAGCCAGGATCTGGGGCCACTGTTTACATGTGTAACTGAGGTGGTACAGCCATCACTTCAGTTTCACACTGATTCTGCAATCCAGCCAGGGGGCATATTCACATGGGAGAAGACTTCTACATGCATAGTTGTAACTGGATAAGGACAACAACCAACACTGCACATGGAGTTCAGTTCTGCTTTCCCACACAGTTCCTGTAACTATAGCTTGGTTTGAAAACCAATTACTGCTCAGCTATTTGGAAAGACAAAGAGGGATGTAGAGTTTAGATCCCAGGTTTAGATCTTCAGGGCTTGGATAGTAATAGCAAATTCATTATTTGAGCATGAATTCTAATGTAGGTGAAATTATACCATCCACATTCAAGCAAGAGCTACAGACAGGCTTGAGGAAATCCCAAAGTTTGCAAAAAAAAAAAAAAAAAAGTCTTAGGGAAGAAATATGGGAGTGGGGAAGGGGGAGAACTAAACTAGTCCAATGAAGACTGAGCATGCGCAATGACCACAAATGCTGACTGACAACTGAAGGAGAAAAAAAATACAGAAAAGCATGGCCAGAGATGGACTAAGGCACTAGAATCCGGAAGAGTCACACTCAACATTACAATGTTTTGCTGTAAGTCCATTTGGGAAGATGGCTCTTATGGCTAGAAATTAGGCTGGATGCTGGATGTGACTGCATTTCTGCTGAAAGAACATGTTCATAGTTTTGGGCAACTCCTTGATCCAGTGTTGTCACTCAACTTTAAGAGAGCCTTGGTGGCTCAAAGCACCATTTGTCATCTTTGGCTGGTTCAGCAACTACAGAATAGGAGCAGCTTGTTCATTGTGATGTGTGATTTAGCACCCTCCCAACTAGATTGTTTTAATTCGCTGTATGTGCAGCTGCCACTAGAGGCAATAAGCAAAATATGACTGCCACAAATTAAAGTGGTACAGCCAGGAGGATCTTATTATAAGGGACCTGTGCTTCCAAGACTATTCAAAGTTCCAGTGCTTGCCTTGAAATGGCTTGAGATCCATATCTCTGTCCCTGTGTCATTCTGTCTGTGCTTTTAGGTGGACAGAGGTTCTTCATAGAAATGTTTTAATAAATAAATAAATAAATAAATAAATCTTCAACACGTTATGTTTCAGCAAGGAAGAGAGCCTGTGTCTTTGTGGGCAATCTGGCAACACACTAATTTGAGTAATTGTAATTACACTGGGTGGATTGAAACCATAAAGGAAGATGTAGCCTTGAACTCAGAAGAGCTGAGCAGGGCTGTCCTGGACAGTGCATCTTGGAGCCACTCTGAGTCAGAGGTGCCTTGACAGCATGTGACAACAACACTGACAATTCTTATAACACAGCTTAGGTCTATTTTGGTTTTTCAGGCACTTCAAGCTGGGCCATCTGACTTCTTGTTTTTTCACCTTTGTTTTGATAATTACATTTTAATTGTCGTGTGTGTGCGTGTGTGGTTACATTTGTTGTAGAGCACCTATACATCAATGGATAAAGGGCGGTTTTAACATATGTCAAGTTCATTGATGGAATAATTAATGCAAATGTGGCTTGCAACAAAATGCCCACAGGGAAGTGGTGGTGTAAGAACCACAATCTATGAAGTCAGAAGAAAACGAAATGCAATTAGTAGTCGTCATTCAGCCCCATTTGGATATATTAATTTGGTGACATCTCTCAGTTGTACAAGCGCAGCTGATACCAGCCTAAGCAAACTTTTTCCATCCCCAAAGCCTCTGAAGGCAAATATTTGAGAAGGAGATGCAGCAGGCCTGCTCCTGCAGCCAAGGGCCGAGCCACAAACTGCAGGGCACTGCACAGTTCCTCCGCGCCTTGAGGGAAAAGGGAGATCCCGCCTCTTTGCAAACAAGGGATTGGCACGTTCGCGGCTTTTTCGGCCTCGGGGCCCTTGCCTGGATTTGCCGAGCTGGCAGTCAGTCACTCGCGCAGGTGCGTCCCTTGCTCAGGTGTGGGCGGTGCCTCGCAGTGGCCCTCTTGCTACCTGTTGCAGTTTGCCCTTCTGCCCGTGCCAAGAAGAGGAGCGGAGGAGCTCAGCTTGCCTCCCGGGCCTCGTGGGGTCCGGCCGGCGCCAGGGGCTCCTCCTGAGCAGGCTGTTTCGGGCAGTGCCGCTGACGCCAGCCGAGGAAGCAACAGGCGGACGCCGCCGCTGACCTCGGAGCGCCTGGTCAGGATGACTCGCGCTCCTCGTGCGATCGACCTGAGTTTCCTCAGCGAGGAAGAAGCCAAGCAGATCTTACAAGTGCTGGAACGAGACTTGCAGCTCCAGAGGGCAGAGAAGGAAAGGATCAGGTACAAAATGGCTCGGGTTGACCCCTTCCTCGCGCGGGTCCTCCTTTTCAGGGCCGGTATGTCCCGCGGCAGCGGCCAGGAAAGTCTTGCGGGGCCAGGTGGACGTTGTGGCCCCGCAGATGTGGCGTCCCAATTTCCATACGCCTCAATGGGTATCATGCAGGTGGGATGGGAGATGGGGTTTAGCAAGAAGTAGAGGACCAAGATTCATCAGCCTCTGCTTTGGGATGACACATTGGAAGGAGATGCTATCTAGATCCATAGGCATTATTATAATACGAGTAACCAACCATTTACATCTTATCTTGATCCTCAGCATCAGGGAGTGAATTGGTGTCACTTTTATTCCTGAGCCTGAGGCTAAGAAGCCTTTTTATTTTTTTATTTTTCTCTGTAATTTGATCCTACATATATTTATGGGGAATTTTTAATGTAAAAGGACCCTCAACAGCATTCATTTCTTTTATAAGGCTGGTTCTTCAACACAAACTTGCCAATCTAGAAACCAACACCATTGACCTTGAGGTGCTTCCTTGGACTCAAAAATACTTGGCTGAGGGAAGGAAAGAAAAAAAATTAGCACATGCTCTGAGGAAAACTGTTTTTATTTTCAGTTGCTATTTCACTTAGTTCTAGGGCTTGGACCCTGGAATACAAAATATATCCTGGGACTAAATCCTGTAGAACTCTGGTTGATACATTTGAAGCTTTGTATGCTTTTTGTTTTTCTGGTGTAACATTTTTGTGATTGTTATTAATTACTATTTAAAAGCAGGGCATTCACACTAGAGGTTTCTTGGATATTTTTAAGTAGCATTCTTTGGTGCTGCAAATAAGCCCCATTGAGCACAATGGGACTGTGCTGTTAAATGGTCCCTTCCTGTTGCCTTATTTAGATTGTTGGACTGGGGATCTGGGAGATTCAGGTTCTACTTCCCACTTGTCTACAAAGCTCACTGTGTGACTTTGGGCCAGTCACTGACTACCTGGCCTACCTCACAGGGTTGTTGTGAGGATAACATTGAGAGGAGGAAAAGAGTAATGTAAGCTGCCTTGAATCCCTCAAAGTAAAAAAGACAAGATATAATATCATTAATTAACAGTGTTTGCAGATGCAAACTTGGAATTTTTGCCATCAGTTGTGGAAAGGCCATAAGCTTTACCCTGCCACTGAGGATCTGCTCCGATGCTTTCTTTACAAGAGGACTCCTAGGCTGTACGGACTCTCAGCAATTTCAGTGCATTATGCGCCTGTCGGGTGCCTGTGTTACATGCACAGGCTTTGGCACAGCACCACAGATCAACCTCAGTGTCAAAAGGCAGATCTTGTGCGGGCGAGTGAATGCATCGTGGGCTGGGGCAGATGGAAGTCAACACAGGCAAGGCTGGTTTGCAGCTCCTCCGTATTGCATTGGTCATGGGACTCACACTTTACAGCAGAAACACAAAAGAGTCTTGTGGCACCTCAATGGCTAACAGATTTCTTATGCTATGTGGGTACATGGAAAACAGCAATGTCAGAGGGAACTCAAATGCAAAAAGTACAGTGCTAATTCTCATATTTACAGTGACCATTTCCAGTACAATACTGATGGCATGTTCTTAATTGGAAGTAAGCCCCAATTAAGCTCAGTCATGTACTCAGGTTTTGAGGGTCCATGGCAAGGCACTCCCAGTGGTTTCCTTGCTTTCCCATTTCTGTCATTGTCACCAGCTGCAGTTTGCTCCTTATACGTTTTCTCATCATCAGTACTACCGTTTTGCTCAAGAGGCGGAGAACTGACTATCAAGGAAGCGGCGGCAGCTGCTGCTGCTGCTTCTCACCAGATTGAGAAACAGGTAAAAAAGCAGGATGCAGTGCTGAAAAGCATTGTCCAAGGGCTCTTGTCAGTGGGACCCTTTGGGTGGAGGATCCTTGGAAGATGCCCAGCTATGCTTACCCATGACACCATCTCCATTCTTGGATGAATTGGTGGGCATAGGACTGCATCATTAAGATCACAGCTGTCCTGTGCACACTTCCTTGAGAATAAAGCCCATTGTGTTTGGAAGGGTTTATTTGAAAATGACATGTTTAAGATCGGGCTGTCAATGCCTGTTATCCATGAGAGGCTAATGCATGCACTCGAGTCTCCGTCTCTGATTGCATGTGAACCTTCTTAGCATGGGGTTGACTACAGAATAGAAATACAAAGTAGGCTGCACAATTTGAAACCAGGACCCTCCAAGGAGAATGTGATAGTCCTCCAGCTCTTCTATGTTCCCCTGTCCTTTGGGTGCATACAAGAGAGACTTTCTTCTCCATGAAACTTGCACAGTGGTACAATGCTGGCAGCTAACAAGGCAAGAAGGGGCTGTTACAGGGCATTTCCTGGCTAGTTGCTAGTTCAAAATTGCTCCCAACCCTCCTTATCTCTCTCTTAAGGACTTTGCCCTCAAGCTTGCATGACACATTTGATTGTTTCTCATTGTAGTGTGGTGCATTGCTGAATTTGGTGTTTCTCCCTTCAAGGCCAGGGTAGGAATGCCACCTGGAGCAGCAGTTTCGGGGGACTGCAGTGGCAGGCCTGTTCTCCGGCTGACCCTTTTCTCCAGAGCTGTGCCCCAACAGTGGCAATGCTGCTTGTTGCTAGCTTGGCCTGTCTGTCGGATCTGGTTGTCTTCTCCCAACACATCACAGACAGCTCTCTTAGGAAGATTCCTTGACTGAGGAAGCAGGCAGAGAAGCAGTTAAGCCAGGCAACACTCCAGCAGGCACTGGGCATGTGCATTGTTTGCTCACACGATCCGTGCTGCTGCTGGATCGTGTTGTTTGTCTGAGTGGCACAAATCCTCACCAGTGCTAAAGCAAAATACAGCTGCTAGTGCAGATGGAACCAGGGCAGGGCACCATCCTGTCCTTCACTTCAGGCAGCAACATGATTTAGGCCAGCATTGCTTACACATGTTGTATGCAGGACCCACTACAGACTAATGTAAAGAATAATTCATTTGCTTCTTTATTATAGCTGCATAGGGCTTCCTGTGGTATGCCACCCAGATAACCATGAGACCCACACCTGCTTAGCTTCCACAACACTTGAGTCCAGACAAACTAGTAGAGGCTGGGATACCAAGGGCTAGGAAATACTTTCTGCCTTTTCTAGCAACTATGTACACCCACTTAGGTTAGCCACCTTCTTCAGTGGAGAAGTGTAGAATTCCCTGCGTTACTTTATAATACTCATGTCAGAGAGGGTGCCTTAAACTCTTAAACTTCAGTGCACAGACTTTCCTGGTTTTCTCTTATTCTCCCCATCCCTCGCCCCACCACCATTTCTTCCATAGTTCCTCACCTCCTCCCCCTCATTTCCTCGCTTTCCCTTCTCCTTCATTTGGCCCCTTTGCACTGCAATTGGCTTTTAATAAGGCTTCCATTGACAGCAATTGTTTTTTTTTGTTGTTCTTGTTTTACAGTTTAATTGCCATGTGGGCAAGTATTTTCAAGGGTGTCACATTGGAAACTCCCCCCCCCACCATTTCCTTCCTGTGTACTAATTAGGCTTTTTAAAAGCATGCATTTTCTGCCTCTGCTGTAAGGTATGAAGATATTATTTGCCCCCTATTAAAAATGGGTGGCTAAGGATGACAGATTGGCCCCTGGGTATCTATGGAGGATGCAGCTGGGCTGAGGTTTGAGCCTCTTTTATCTTACGCTCTTAACTCCTGTACTGTAGTAGGTATTAACTCCACTGTTAAATCCTATACCTATTGAGACATCAAGTTGCCCAACTTAGAAGCTGTGGTGCGTGCCAGAAGCACAACCATACAAAGCACAACTTCTTTTATCTGTAACCACAGACATGTAAATACGGATCGTGTGCCACCTGAATAATGTAGTTCTAGGCTTAATGAGAAGGTGCTTATTTGATTACTAGTTTCATACATTTAATTATCATAGTTACAATGTACAGATTGAGCAGGTGCTGCCATGCTTCTTTTATTGTACCAACCAGCCTAGAAATATCAGAAGGGAGTTTTCAGACTACGTATTTTTCATCCAGCCGAGGAGTTAAGGTGCAAGCCCCTGTGCATATTATCTATTCAGACTAGAAATAACATGGATTGTGGGCTAAAACTGGCAGTGCTGCACACCGTGGATTGTACCAAATGGCAAGTACGAGTTATGATTGCATCTGAATGTTCCCCTTATTAAAACAATAATTCTTCTCCCTGATTATGTTCACTTTGCATATGCATAACATTTTATATGAGGAATTCATTTAAACATGCAATCTTTCACCTTCAGTGCTGTAACCCAATGATAGATCAAGCTTATTAGCATGATAATGATAGAGTATGGCTTCAAATACACACTTTGATGACAGGAGTATTGGAGCACAATCTGGTGCAGACATGGAATTGTAAACCATGGTTTGTTACAAACTAGTGAGAGGGAATCACGGTGTGGGAGGAGAGAGGTGAGTGCATGTCAACACAGGAAACCATAGCACAGTGGTAAAGTGCTTGCTTTGCGTGCAGAAGGTTTAGCCCTGGCATCTCTAGGTAGGGCTGGAAAAGCTTATGCTGCAACATATGGAGAACTGCTGCCGGTCAGCATTGAAAATACTGAGCTAGGTGGATTTATTATGTGCAACTTCCTATGCATGAGCTTGAAGGACTTAAAAGCAAAAGCCTTTTCACCATGGTTTGGTATCAAAAAGCCATTAATACCCTGACACTCTTCCGCTCAGTTGTTCTCTTCTGCACCAGAATTCCTTCTCTCCCCCTAGTTTGTGGCAAACTATCAATACTGATTCAAATAAAGTTTCCAGTCACAGGAAATCAGGGAAGGAGGATATTTAAGGGAGCAGGGAGTATGCATGGCTGAGAGTCCTTAAAGAATGCATAGCACCAAGTAGGTTTGGCATTATCTCTGAGCCCGCCTACTGTGATAACTCATTATTAGAGACAAGGGATTACCTAGGCACATGCATCCAAGAGCCCGCGCATATATAATA